CGCCCCCTCAGCACTGCCGGCGGCGCTGGCCAAGCCCATCCTTCCTCTCCCCGCAGCTAGTCAACAAGGTGATGGAGCTGGCCCGAGAGAAGCAGGCGGCAGAGCTGAAGACCCTCAAGGAGACGTTGGAGAGGTCCGACTGCCACCCTCCCACACGGGACTCCCCTCCAGTTAGGGCTTGGCCCACAAAATGTCGCCCTCGTGCCTATCTCCCTGCAGTGACACCAAAGAGATGAAGAAAAAGCTGGAGGCCAAGAGGCTGGAGCGGATCCAGGCCATGACCAAAGTCACCATAGACAAGATGGCCCAGGAGAGGTGAGTCCTGAAGGTGAAGGTCTGGTATGGGCAGACCCCACTTCAGGTGGAACGGGGCCTCCCTACAAGTGGATTCTGACTCACTTTCCAAAGATGTGCCTTTCTCCTGGCTCTTGAAATAGTAGATTCCATCTCTGTCACCTCTGATGAGAGCGTGTGGGCAAAACACATATGCCAACACCACTTGAGCAGAGAGGAGTATTGAGGGAATGGCTTCTGGTTCCCATTGTGGTCCAAAAACACGTCCTTTAAGACTTTCATGGGAAGCACAGCTGCCAGAGTGGACAGGCTGCTGTTCCCTGGCTTCAGCTCCCTCTCTGCAGGCTTGATTTTCCTCCAGTAGTCCTCTACACCCTCCTTGGGTTCCCATGCTTGCCCCTCTGGCTGGTTCCTGCCCCTGAGATGGATTTCCCATTTACTTATATCGTGAGGAGACCTCATCTCACCCAACATTTCCCAGGGGCTTCCTGCCCTTTCTAAAACTCCAATTACACCCACAGGTTAAAGAGAGAGATTAATAACTCCCACATCCAGGAAGTGGTGCAGGTCATCAAGCAGGTGTGTAAGAACTGTGTCCTTCCCAGACACTCTCTCCTCCCTCCTCTTTCTCTTTCTTCATAGATGGGAAGCAGTGGCCCCAGGCCCTTGCTTTTCTCTTAGGAGATACATTTGTCCAGAGCTGTCCATGCAGCTGGGTCTATAAGGGGATATCCCAGGGTTCCAGCCTGTGTATGGAGATTGGGGTACTAACTTGAAAGGATCTGTCTCTGGCTGGCTCCCCTGCATGGAAACAATATGAGCTAGCTGACCAGGCAAGCATGGGATTGGTGTGTGTGGCTGGAGGGGGAATGAGGGGGGCTTCCTGAGGCACCAAGGAATTGGATGAGGAAGGAAAGTCCTGCTGAGCATGGACTTAGGGATCATTAACCACAGTAACAGAGCCACCATCTACTGAGTCCTGACCTTGTACCAGGCACTCTGCCAGGTGCTGCACATGAACTGTCTCGTATAATCCTTTACAATCCAGTAAGACAAGCACTATTATCCTCATTTTACAAGTTTAAAAAAAATGGCTGGGCACAGTAGCTCACACCTGTAATCTCAGCACTTTGGAAAGTTGGGGCAGGAGGATTGCTTGAACCTAGGATTCAAGACCAGCCTGGGCAACATAGCGAGACCTCATCTCTTAAAAAAAAAATCTAAAAATTAGCTGGGCATGATGGCACACACCTGTAGTCCCAGCTGCTCAGAAGGCTGAGGCAGGAGCATCACTAGAGCCCAGGAGACTGAGGCTGTGGTGAGCCACTTCACTCTAGCCTGGTGACAGAGACCTAGACCCCAACTAAAAAAAAAAAAAAAAAAAAAAAAATTGCCCAGAGGTAATTTGTCCAAAGTCTTACAACTGGTTAGCTGAGACTACAGCTGGAACCCAACCCCGTGGCCTGTCTGCTGTCCTGATCCCCTGCCTTTCACTCCCACCCAGATCACAGAGAATCTGGAGAAGCATCAGGAGAAGCTAGAGGAGAAGCAGGCAGCCTGCCTGGAACAGATCCGGGAGATGGAAAAGCAGGTACCAGGATCACTACCTTGGCTCTCAGCAGAGGTGGATGAGCTCCAGGGAGCTGCCAGTCAGGAGGCCAGGGGAAGGGTGCCAGTATCCCTCACAGTAGGTCACAGGCTCTGGTTCCCACGGGGTCCCAAGGCCCTTTCAAATGAGGTAGCTCTGCAGATCTCTGCTTGGTGGGCATCCTCTCTCCTGAGAGGCTTTCTGATGGGCTTCCCTACCCCCTACCTCTCACCCCCCTCTCCTGAGAACTCTGAACAAGGGGATTGGGCATCTCCTTATTCCACTGTCCAGGGAAGGAGAGTGGGCAGGGGGTACCTCCTGAGTCAGGCCGTGCTCCTTGCTGTCCCCACAGTTCCAGCAGGAGGCGATGGAAGAGTACGAAGGCAAGATGAGGGGTCTGGAGTCCGAGGTGAAGGAGTCGGTGAGGGCCTGCCTCAGGACCTGCTTCCCTTCCGAGGCCGAGGACAAGCCTGAGGGGGCCTGGGAGGCCCCCAGGGAGCCATGTGAGCAGGACACACCGACAGCAAAGGCTGACGCCCAGGAGAGCCGCCTCTGATGCCCCATCCCACTGGGACATTGAGCAGGGAAGTTCAGACCTTTCTCTGGGACATGGCTCCATGTCCCCAGGAGAAAGGAGCCCCAGCACTCTGAGGCTGTGGGGACCTGAGACTCCCTGGATGGTACAGCCTCCTCCTCAGTAGTCGGCCTAGGAGAGGAGGCAGGACTCAGGTACCATCAGGGAAGGGGTCTATCTGGGGCCTAGAAGTCCTCTCCAAGCTGACTTCCAGCTCCTCATCCCCTCCCCCCGATAAGTGTCATATATTTGTTGAGGGCATGAGAATATGGACTGGGAGGCAGGAAATGAGATCCTGCCCCCACTCGACCTTTCAAGAGGAGCCAGGCAACTCGTAGTGCCCCACTCTAAACTGTTTTTTTTTTTTTTTTTTTTTGAGTTGGAGTCTCACTCTGTCGCCCAGACTAGAATGGCCGCTCCCGGCCACCGCAGCCTCGACCTGCTGAGCTCCGGCGATCCTTCTGCCTCAGCCTTCCAAGTAGCCGGAATTACAGGCGCGCACTACCACGCCTGGCTAATTTTTTAATTTTATCGTAGAGATGAGGTCTTGCCTGCCCAGGCGGGTCTTGAACCCGCAGGTTCGGGCAATCCACTCACCTCAGCCTCCCAAAGGCTGAACTGTTTTCTCACCTGGAGGTTTAGACCCACCACCTGGAACCTCCACTGTTGCCCCTGTGGCACAGCAGGACAAAACCCCAAGCCCTCCTGCTCAGTGTGAGCAACTCAACTGGGCTTCCAGGACACATCCCAGGCCTGCCTTGAGTTGGCCTTGTTGTCGACTCCTTAAGGCAGAGCCTGGCACTACCTCGAAGCTCCCTGGGGATGGCCACTCCCAGGATTCCTGGCTGAGGTCACTTCCCTCACCTTCTGCCTGCTGGAGATAGGAGGCTGACATGGAAAACTGCCTCAGCTGACTGGCCCTCAGGCCACTGAGTCATATGAGGCTGAGGCCTCTCAGGCACTCTCGCACCCTGAACTTGGTTCCCCCCTTTTTCTAGGCCTGAGGGTGGGTACTTCCTGGCATGCACTCCACTCAGGCTGCCTGACAAGGTCAGCATCCTTCGTTCTCCTGAATTTGTGTTTTATTTATTTTTCTCCTTCCTACTCCCACTAAAGAACCTTGTTCTAATATCTTCTGCCTAAGCCTGGTCTCTGTTTTACTATGAAATGGGGGACAGGGGAGTGGAGTGCCCCTGAAATGAAATAGGCTGGGAAAAAAAAAACAAACCCTTGGGAATCGAACCTAAGGTGAGAACCTTTCCAGAACCCCGTGTAATGACTCTGCCTCAGCTTAAAGAGAATTCACTTTCCTGTCCATTGGCCCTGATGCCACAACCACTGGAAAATGATGTCATCTCCTCTTCACCACCATACAGATGTGCCTTTTCCTCATCTCCAGCCTCAGAGCTGGAGCAGAAAAGCCTAGTATAAAGGTGCCCCCTTCATCTCTTGGGGAATCCCAAATATTTAGGCCATCTGGGTCTCTAGAAAAACAGTGGTCAGATGCTCAGGTCACTGTAGCAACTATGGTGGACCCCAAAACTTGCCACAGAGGAGCTTGTGGGCAGCCATTCACTGCACCTGTGGCATGATCCCAAATCCCAAATGGGGACAGGCATGGGCTTGGGGGAGGCAGAGTGGGGATTGATTCTGGGAAGAGGTTGTTTTCTTATTAAAGAGTTATTGCAGATGCCATTAGCTGTGAGCACCTGTGCCTTTGGGAAATAAACAGGTCCTCCTCTTTCCCCTGGGAGTCTGACCTCTAGGATTCTACCAGGGCCTGGCTATAGGGTGAGGCTAGGGGCCTGCTTGCAGGACTAATGCCTGGCTTTGATCAGCCTGCCCCCCACCCATCTCACTACAGACTGGATACAGCCAGAGTGGACACCTACACTGTCCTGTCTTCAACTCTCCAGCTGGGCACTCAGCCATCCCACCTCGCCCCCTCCTCCCACCACCCAGGGGTAGAACCCTGTAAGGATGAAGATCCGGGCCTAGAGGAACTCACTGACCCACGTGGGAGCACATAAGCCAAAGCCAGAGTCAAATGGAGCCCACTGGGCAGCCCCCAGCTTTTGCTGATGATTGTTCAGGAGGAGAACCTGCACCGCCCCCGCCCCCCACCACCACTGGGCCAGGCTGAGCAGAGTTGGAGCTGGGCAGTGCAGGAATTGGAGAGGTGATGCAATCCTGCCCCTGGAAAGGCCTCTGCACAGCAGGCTGGGGGCTTCCCATGTGGCCAGGCCTGGATACCCTGTAGAAACCTCCCTGCTTTCTATCCTCTGAAAGAAGGGCAAGGCAGGCCCTGAGCAAATGCCATCTCTGGGCCCTGGGCCCTGGAGATGAATTAATCTCTGGCTGCAGGGGATATGCAGATGAAGAGTTGATGCCCTCCCTAGGGGCACTGGGCAGGTGAAGGGCACCTGGATTCCATCCTGGCTGCATATCTATGGGTCTGGGGCAAGGTTCCCTTTCCACTCATCATGCCTCAGTTTCACCTTTTGCACAAAGAGAGGGGTCCCTACCCCTTTCTCAATCCCATTGCTGATTCAGTCGCAAGTCCCCTGCTGACTCACCCCACCCCCTGCATCCCCTCAGCAGCCCTCTGGATCTCCAGACACGTGCTACCAGGCCCAGCCTTACAGAGCTGGTGCAACGTGACAGGGTGAGGGGGCTGGTGACACCTGAAAAAAGAAGGGGGCTCAGGAGGGGGAACCGTTGCAGACAGAGTGACAGACCACACTGAGGCGCCTCTGGGAGGAAACCCTTTTGCCAGCCTGGGGGCTGCTTTGAACAGGCTCAGCAGGTGGGAGGGGTGGGGGAGTATGGAGTGCCTGCCTGCCCCCTGCCTGCCTCGGCTCCATCTCTTGTCAGCCTTCAGCTCCCTAAGCGACAGCTTCTAATTCCGGCTGTTGGTGCCTCTGTGCTCTGCAACAAAGTCTCAGCTTTTTTCAGCTTTGCTGTTTCTTTTCTGTTCAGAACATACTGAGCCCATAGGAAAGTCAGAGCAAGGTTCCGGGGCCTGAGACCTGGCACCTCCTCTCTCCATCCTGCCATAGGTCTGGTGGGGTTGGCGATGCCAGCTGGGGTGAATGGAACCAGTTGCTCCTTCCAAAAGGTACCCAGCACAGCACTCTCTGGCCCAACTCCTCTGCTTCCTTGGAACTGTCTCAACCCGCCACAGGGACCAGGGACATAAATGCAGCTGAGTTGTCTACAGGAAGCTCAGGTGGAAGGGGCAAGGAGGGTTTCTGCTGCTTCTCTCCTTCACCTGGGGGATGCAAGGACTGGCTTTTCAGGCAGGTCTGCCACACAGAGAAACTCCCTCCCTTAGCCCTGGAGACAGAGAAGGGAAGAAAGCAATTTCTCTCATGCTGCAGAAATGAGAAATTGAGTCATAAAGGGAAGAAGAGCCTTTCTTCTGCTCTCTGAGTAAAGAAGCAGAGCATTCCTGCCCAGTTACTGGGGGTGGAAAGTCTCTACCCACTTCTTGTGGCCACCCCAGAGAGGGGCCGCAGCTCTGGGGGCGGGAGCAGCTTTGAGGGCTGCACTCTAAATAACTCTCCAGTTCTCTCCCTGACTCTCTCACTTGATCTTGCGTAAAGCAGGCAGGGCTGGTATTTATCAGCTTCACTTTGCAGATGAGAATATGCAGGCTTGGAGCCACACTGCTAGTAAATGCCTTCAAGTTGGGACTTGACTCTGATGTCAGCTACTGTGCCCTTTCTATGACACCATGAAAGAACACTGGCAGAGCCCTGACCAAAAGCTTTTAAAAAATGCAAGCCAGGCTCGGTGGCTCAGCCTGTAATCCTGCGCCTTTGGGAGGCTGAGGTGAG